CTCCAGCTGGTGGAGGCCCTTCAGGACGATCTCCTCCGCCCGGTGGGCCTCTCCGGCGGCCAGGTGGCGGTCGACGGCCTCCGGCATGGCCGCCAGCTTCTCCACGCGCTCCAGCAGCTCCAGCGCCGCCCGGTTCGCCCGGTCCTCGGCGTAGGCGGCGAGGAACTCCGCCCGCTTCTCACCGTCCACTTTTAGAAGCTCGCCCACCAGACAGCTCTTCACCTGCAGCGTGGCGGCTCGCAGCGCCCGCAGGCGCTCTCGGGCCCCGGCCAGGCGCTCCTCGAGGCGAGCAGTGCTCCGCGTCAGCTCCACGATGTCCACCTCGCCCGTCTCCAGGAGCTGCTCCAGGCGGTGGCCGCTGGCGGCGAGGGCGGTCTTCAGCGTCGCCTCGAGGGTCGCTTCGGTGTCCTTTCGTTCGGAGGGCGAGCTGCCGGCGCAGCCCTCGCTGGCGGAGACGATGCTCGAGAGGTTGATCAGCGCGGCGGCGGAGGCCATTCGTAGTGGTTCAATCGAGAAGAAAATCTTGTGGGTGTAAACAAACAAGCAAAAACGGGACTGAAAATAGAAATCGCAGGTTTAGTAGTGCAGGTTCTAAAGATGACAACAAACTCACCGTCGATGTGTGTGTTTGTGCTTTCTATTTCAAACTCACCGCCTCAAACAATGGTGATAGCAAAACTAAACTCCCAACTCTGCAGATAAGCACAGACACAAAGAACAAAAGGCTTGGCGGATAGCGATTTGAATCAGAGGCAGAGGCAGATCAAGTTACCAGAGGCGAAAATGGTGACGAGGAGGTAAAAGATGAGCTGAGTGAAAGAGAAAGAGAAAGAGAAAGCAATATATTGCTGCTATCGGTGATTGCACTGATCATCAGGTGTCCTTGATCTTCTCTCAGCGGGAAAGATGAGTCACTTTTTACTCTTCAAACAGCAGTGGATAATGTCGCTGTGGATGTTTTGCAGCAGCAGGCAGCTTGAAACTTGAGCTTGATCTTCAGACTGCGTAAAAAGCGATGCATCCAAATCAGCTGTTTGTTCACTCATCAGTGTGTAAACACAAACGACAAACAAACGACACATTCTGTTTCTGTCTAGAAGGATTGGTGAAGATGGAGGCCCAAACGCCCCGAACATCACTTCTTATCAGAGAAAAGGGGATTGTCAACGATTCTTTTTGCTCTTCTTTTCCATCTGTCACCGGCAGCTCTTGTGGGTAATCGAGAATCTTTGCGGTAATCCAAACAAACACCATCACAATCAGATCTTCCCTAATCTCTCTGTAAACAAAGATTAATTCTCTTTTTTTTATCGGCAGGTACTCCACACATCGGAAATTCCATTTTCTCTCTCTTTTATTCATTCTACCTTCATTGCTGATTCTGCTATCAAACTCGCAAGTCATGGAGCTCTTCATTCTCGTGGACATTCTTCTTCTTCTTCAGATTCTGCTCTCACCTCCTTTGAGCACCTCCTCAAGCCCACTGGCCAACTGCAACTGTGCCACCTTCAACCTGGAGCAGTACAACCAGCTGCGGCTGCACGGCAACCTCAGCAGAGAGCCCTTCACCAATCGAAGCGATATGGGTGATATTTACCTCCTTTTTAGACTTTTCCAAAACAAAAACCTTACTAACTTCTTTTCTCCTTAGTCTGCTGCAACTCACAACAACTCAGCTCCCTTGCTTCGCTGGACGCCGAGGAGCTGACCCAGCTGACCCACTTCACCGAAGAAGTTCGCCTGCGACGGGTGGCCTCCCCAATGCTTATTCTAGGCCAGGTGCCCGTCCTCCACCTGTCGCACTACTGGGCGAGCCAGGATGATCATCTGCAGCCACCGCCACCACCACTACCATCATCACCACAAACTTCTCCTTCTTCATCATCTTCATCTGCTGAAGCGGAAACACCCCCCTTTCCCTGTCGAATGCGGCACTTCTACCTGCGCGACAGCGACGTCAACGTCGACCTGCTCGACACGATCGCCGTGCACTGCCACCACCTGACGGTCTTCCACCTGGAGCGGGTTCGACCGACGCTGGTGCCAGACCCGGCTCCGGACAACCCGGAAAACGGCGGCGAGAATCAGCAGCAGCAGTCGCCGCCGATGCACCGGCAGTTCAACGTGCTCACAAAACACTTCACCAGCCCCCACCTGGCCGTCGTCAGTCTGATCGGCTGTCAGATCATCAGCCTCGCCGGCTTCGACCTGCTGGCCAATGCGACCCAGCTGCGTGTCGTCAGCCTCAGTCGCAACCAGCTGACCAGTCTGGAGGAGCAGAACGGCGGGCCGGCCTTCTTTCCGCTTGGCTCCGGTCTCTGGTCCATTGACCTGAGCTACAACAGGCTGCGCTCCATACCGATGGACTGGCCATTTCCTGTGTCGCTGCGCGTCCTCCGCCTGGACCACAATCAGTTCAAGGTGCTGCAGTTTGATCCCTTCAGGGCGGTGTGGTTCGGCCTGAGCGAGTTCTGGATCGGCGGTGAGCGGTTTGCTTTGTTTCCTTTTGTTATGTGTACTAGAAAACACTTTCATTTCATCTATTTTTCTATTTCCACCTTCCAGCGAACATCTTTGACTGCAAGATGATGGCCCAGTCGGAGGAGTGGATGCAGGTGCTGATGGCGGCGGTCAGGGCGAGAGAGGAGGAGGAAGAGGACCGGGAACTGGGAACTCTGAAGAATGATGATGATGATGACAACCACGACCTTTCAGTGGACGACCGTCATCTCCATCAGCGCGTGCCCATCGGCCTGGACGGCTGGACCTGCTACCACCACAATGGCACCCGACGGCTGGCCGTACTGCAGCTGCCGCTGCTGGTGCTCAACAACCAAACGGGGCGCATTTTTGGCAGTGCTGATGGACACTAGCCGCTAGAGCTGAGCTGAGATACTTCACAGCTTGAGAACGCAAGTTGAGTTGAGCAAATATTTGCCACACCATTGCAGAGGACTCGATTACCCCGACACTTTCCCTCTCCCAACAACATCAACGACCAATTTCCTGTTACCACTTCTCTCTCTCTCTCTCTCTCTCTCTCTCTCTCTCTCCTCTTGACACTGAAAACCTGGTTACCCAAAAATACAGCACACAAAATTTTCTGATCAGCAGCAGTTATTAAAGCCTACCCAGTGCGCATACATTTGCAAATCAGTTCTAAAGTTCTGGTTCTAATCAAAGCCTAAAACTGAAAAATGGGCCATCTCAGCTCCCTTCCCGCCCTATCTCTGGCCATCATTCTCTTCGGCGTGAGCTCTTCCTCCTTTTCTTCCCCTAGCACACCTCAAACTCCGCCACTCTCTACAACTTCCAAACCGGACAGCCATATCAAAGAAGAGGACTACTTCAACCCAAAAACCTCATTTGCCAATGGCGCCCTGGCGAAGAGCTGCGAGTCGTGCACCGTCACCGAAAGCTTCATAGGGCCGCTGAACAGTGATGCGGTGCTCTTTTCAGGTAGGCAGCGACTATTAGAAACTCCTTTTAAATCAACACTTCTTGATCTTCCCCACTTGCTCTCCAGCCTGCTGCAGCATCGAGGAGCCCTCCTATCTGGAGCTGGACCAGCTGCGCTCGCAGATCGGCGGCAAGCGGCGCCGCTACGCCCGCCTCGACCACCTCCTTCTCACCAAGGTCTCCGTCTACGAGTTCCTCTTCGACACCGACCACGAGGACCTGGTCGTGGACACCATCTACAACACCGACTTTGTGGTGGGCTACTTTCGCCCGGGCTCCTACGCAGACGGCGTGACGCACAACAACAACGGCCGTCACGTTCGCCAGCTCTACCTCGCCTACTGCGAGCTAAGTCCGGAGATGCTGGCGCTGACGCTGGCGCAGATGAGCAGCCTGGAGACGCTGCACTTCGACCACGTCCGCCTCATTCCCTACCCTCCCGGGGAGGGGACGCCCTCGGACCTGCTGAACATCGTCGTGCAGCGGTTCAGCAGTTCGAAGTACAGTAAACGCCCCCTCTCCCTCAGTCTGGTCGACCAGCGGCTGAGCAGTCTGAAGGTGCGAAGGTTCGGCAGCCGCTTCTCCGAGGAGGCCTACCTCAGCATGAGCGCCATTCCGCAGCTGCGCATGCTCTCGCTGGCCGGAAACGGCCTGACGGAGATCGACAACGTCAACTTCTTTCACCGCAAAAGCTTTGGCGTGCCACTGTCGGAGCTGTGGTACCTGGACCTGAGCGGGAATCAGCTGGAGACGCTGGGCGAGGTGGAGACCTGGCTGCCGCCCAGTGTCACCAGTCTGCACCTGGAGGGCAATCGGATTCTCAGTCTGCCGGCGGCATTTGAGTTGGTGACTCCGAAAGCACTGGCGCGACTGAACAGCCTGGCTGAGCTGTGGATCGGTGAGTTAGTAGGAAGAGGAGGCGGTTTTAGGGGCAGCAGAACAAACTTTTTATGGTCATCTTTTTCTCCCCTCAGATGTTACTAAAGGTGGAAATCGCAGTGCCGTTCTCTGTAATGCCTGGAATCCGCTGAAGAATGTCACGGAAAGGCTGGCACCTAAGAAAAACTCGGCCACTTTCACATCGCCGACAACGACTACCCAGAAGAGAGAACCGAAACCGAAACTGCCAACATCGGCAAAGCCGGTAGAGACATCATCAACGAGGAGAACGTCAAAAAGTTCTTAATACGTTTAACTCCAACAGCGAAAATTAGAAGGCCACACCGGTTGTGGTGAGTTGAGGTGGGGTAATAAAACAAAGCAAACACTAAAATGACACAGCTGATGATCTGGTAAAGATGATCTCCGCCAGATCAGACCACTACTACTTCTTGACGCTCTTTCCCGTGGCGGCGGTCATCTTCTGGACGGCCTCAAAGTCGGCGGCGAGCCACTNTTCTAAATACGTTTAACTCCAACAACGAAAATTAGAAGGCCACACCGGTTGCGGTGAGTTGAGGTGGAGTAATAAAACAAAGCAAACACTAAAATGACACAGCTGATGATCTGGTGAAGATGATCTCCGCCAGATCAGACCACTACTACTTCTTGACGCTCTTTCCCGTGGCGGCGGTCATCTTCTGGACGGCCTCAAAGTCGGCGGCGAGCCACTTGTGGCCGGCCAGCTCCTTCATGTCCGCCCGTCTGCTGGGGTCGGGCTCGAGCATGCCCTCCATGATCGAGTTGAGGCCGTCAGAGGGCGGCCAGTCGCGCATCACCTCCTCGCTGAACTCCCAGTCCCTATCGACCATTGCCTGCACACCGTAATCTTCAGCTACAGGTAAATTTTAAGATTTAGGTTAAGAATTGGCTAAAAACAGCAGCATCAGCAGAAGAAACTAACTCACCGTCGACGTTGAAGGGCGTCATCAGGTTGAGCATGGCGTAGAGCGTGCAGCCCAGCGACCAGACGTCGGCGAGGTAGCAGTTGTAGTCGGCGCCGGACAGGATCTCCGGGGCCCTAGAGTGAGAAAGGTTTAGTAGGTTATCTTCTTTTCCGTGTTATCAATCATTCGTACATGTAGGCGGGAGTGCCGCACTGCGTGGTGTAGAGTATGGGTCGGTTTCCCTCCTTGTGGACGATTCGACTCAGGCCGTAGTCGGAGACGAGGACGATCTTCTTGCCGCTCTGGTGCTCGGCCATGAGAAAGTTCTGCAAAGAAGAGGAAGAAGAGGAAGAGATTTTACATGAAAAATCATCATCGTTCGCCCACCTACCGCCGGCTTTATGTCGCGGTGGGCAATGTTGCAGGCGTGCATGTGGCCGACGCCGCAGACCATCTGCGCAAAGTAGAACTTGGCTTCGCGCTCGTCCATGGCGCCGCCCTTCTCCAGCAGCTTGCCGAAGCTGCCCGCATCCGCCAGCTGCATGAAGATGTACAGCTTCTCATTGACGAGGAAGTGCATGTACAGGCGGACGGCGAAGGGATTGTCCACCATCTCCATGATGAAGAGCTCGTTCTTCATCTCGATCACCGCGTCCTGGCAGTCTGAAGTTTTGGGTGGTAGGAGGAGAAGAGAAGAAGAAGACGAAGAGGTGGAAATAGAAATAGAACACAGACTGATAAACAGGTAAACAACAACAACCCACGTACCCACTTTGACGGTCTTGCAGGCGACCAGCTGGCCCGACTTGAGGTGGCGCGCCTTGAAGACCACCGCAAAGCCGCCCTTGCCGATCTGGTCCAGCACCTCGTAGTCGTTGAAGCGGACCACCTCCTCGGCGGTCTTGAAGTGCACCGACGGCACCATGTAGATGGTGGTCATCTCGTCCGCTTGCAGGCGAGACGGGCTGAGGATGCCGTCCGCGGCCAGCGGCGGCTCGCGCCCCTTCAGCACAAACTTGTGCGCCGCCGAGTCCTTGTCGCGCGTACTGGCCACCGTGGCCTGCTTGGTGGTGCGATTCGCATTCGACTTGGAGGTGATCGACGGCCCGGCTCGGTGCTGCGTCTTTGTGTGCGGGTGGTGGCGGTGGTGTTTGTGGGTGTGCTTGTGCGTGTGGTGGTGATGCTGCTGCTGATTGCCCGAAGACTTGGCGGACTTGCTCTTCTTGGGGCCTTTCTTCTTCGAGCTGGAGCTCTTGGCCGGCTTGGAGCCGCCGGTGCCGCTCTTGTGGTTGGTGATCTTGGAGCGGGGTTTGTGGCCGCCACTCGTCCGTGGCTTAGTTTTGCCGGTCTTGGTCATGGTTTGGTTTGGTTTGATGTTAGTTTTAGTTTGCTGAGTGTGCCTTTGAGTGAAATGCTGCTTTTGGCCAACATTGGTAGCTGTGGTTTTTAGCGTGGTGAGAACAATTGATCAAAATCGAACATTCCAGTCATCATTTTGCTGCTGTTTGTTCTTCTTTAGTGACTTGGTAGTTCAGTGAGAGCATGGTAAAGAGGAAAAAGTAGCTGCTGCATTCTCGGACAATCTGCAAAGCCAAATTTGAGAAGGTAAAAACATAAAAAAATACAAACAAACAACAAAGCACTTACATGCCCAACGACTTCTTGTGTGACCAGGACGCCATTACTGAGGCACAGTCCAACGTCGGTGGCGCTCTCCAGAAGGTGACACTGATTTTGAAGCTGCAAAGCGGTCATCTCATTAGCAAAAAACAATCACCCGGTTTTCTTCATCTTACCTTGAGCTTCACTTCGACGCTGGGAAGGTTCAGGTGGCGGCCAAGGTAGAGACATCGTCGCAACCTCGCAGCAGCCCGTTTCGAAGCACTGGCCACTCGGGCCGCCTGCAGCGTGACCAGAGCAAAGGTGGTCGCCTCGAAGAGGGCAATCAGCGTGTAGACGGCGCGAAAGGAGCGCGAAGCGATGTTCGCAAAGAGCACCAGGTAGAGCACAAAGTTGATGATCCACACGCGAAGAAAGATGGTATTGCTGAGCAAGTGGCGCCAGAAGGCGTTGTACTGGCGGGCGAGGCGGAGGATGCCGTCCACCTGGTGGAAGCGAATCTCAAAGCTGTGGACGTCAAACTTGTAGGCGAAAGCTGAAAGGTGGTGGTGTCCACTGAAAACCGCCTTCAGGCGAAGTCGGAGGACGGCGCAGAGGAGGCAGAGGTAGGTGACGGTGGTGTAGAGGACTGAGGAGAGGTTCACCACGAAAAGGAGGTAGAGAAGCTGCCAGAGGGCGGCGGCGGTGAGGTGGGCGGCATTCGGGTAGTAACTGGCGAGGGCCACCGAGGAGAAGGAGACGCCCACGCGGACGGTGTTGATGAGGACGATGAAGTGGACGAGGCGGAGGGCTCGTTTTGCCTGCCGCTGCAAAGTGGTAGCCGTTTCGAAATGGGAGAAGGCAAAGTCGGTGATGGTGTTGGTGGTACTGTTTCTGTACCCGTTGCTGACAAAGTCCAACTTCGGCTGCTGTTGCTGAGGTCCTTGAAGCAGCAGCAGCAGCTCGAGCCAGCCGAAATGCTCTCGCCGGTAGAGGCGGGGCGGAAGGGCCACGGCGAGGTAGTTCAGCGAACAGATGAAGAAGAGAAACTCGACGTGAAAGGGATGCGCCACGCCGATCAGCTGATAGAAGCTGCCCAGGTAGATGGGCAGCGTCGGGTGCAGGCCAACCGAGGGGACCAGACTGACCAGCAGGCCACGGCAGCCGATGATGATGAAGAGGAGAAAGGTGAGCAGCTCGTCGAGGGAAAAGTGGTAGTGAAGGTTCTTCCTTTTCTTCTTCTTCACTTGGATGATCTGCATCTTCTTCCTCTGCTCATCATTATCATCGCCGTCGAGGTAAAAGTCCAGCCAGTGGGCCATCAACTTGCTGCAGTAGAAACTGTACAGGTGAAAAGTGTGACCAAGTAGTGTCGTCTTCATTCTTGAAGGGAAATCGAAACAGAGAAAATAGAGAAAAGCTTACCAGGTGAATTAATTTTTTGAAATTACTTTATATACCTTCAATGCACTTTGCAATCGATTCGATGCAAGTCGGCTTTGCGGAGTGGTGCAATCGATCAATACTAAAGGTATGATTTTAGTTTGCTTCTTGTTTGCTTCTTACTTCTTCTTTCTCAATAAAACGCAACTTCGGAGAATTGTTTATATTTTTTGTTGAAGGTTCATTGATCATGTTCATTGATCGGGTTCATGTGGTTTAGGGTGAGCAAAAAAATGCACCTTGCTAATGAGCTGTTTGTACTAGTCTTGAACTTCCGAACAGACTGACTGGTTAGCGCTTGTTAGTCCATTCGGTTCTAGAAATTGAGGAAAAACTATCAGGATCACAACCAAAAACAGTTTTTAGAAAAAACTCAAAAAAATCTAACCAGGGGTAACGTCGTCTATGAAGTAAGCTTGTGTGTCACGCTTTTCACCACGCGCTTAGCGCTAGCTACGCCGCTGTCGCCGACGTTGCCGTGCAGGTTCTTTTTTCCACTTTGAATTTGGTCGCCATTTTTTCCCCATTTGCCCAGCGTCAACAGAAATATCATCATCGTCGTCGTCGACGCGCCGTACACGTCTGCCTACTGTGTGCTTCAAGTACACCTGACGCCGACTATCGGTGTGCCAGCTTATCGCCATCATCATCCTCATCCATCATCCATCCTCTCCATCAGCGGCTACCTATTCTTTGTTGCGCAAATCGCTGTTCCGTCGTAAGTGAAGATAACTGCCCAGCTTTTTTAATATGCCTGTCAGAACAATGGATTTAATATTTGTGGCTTTGTACTTTTCTAGGAATCTGCTGCTGCTGCTACTTCTACAGTTTGTCATCAGCTGATCGTCGGTGTGGATGCTTTTAGTTGGATGACAACAGGAGTGCAAGTGGAGCAACGCGTGTACACCGGCAACCAGTGTACGACAACATCAAGTGACAGCGCGGCGCAACAGCGGCAATCAAGGTTTTATTTCCCCACCGTATGTACTCAGTGTGCAGGTTCCGCTCAAAAGGGCATCAAAAAGACGAGGCTTTATTATGCTCTTCGATGACTAATGCTCTTCTCCTCTATTTTTTTGTTTATGACAGAACAAGGCTTTTTATCCATTGTCACCACCACCACCACCAACATTTTAACACTTGACCACTATGGGCATTCCTGAGCGACGTGTCTTTGGCCGTGGCCTGAGTTCACCCGGCTACGTGGCCGCCTCCAAGGCGATTACTCCCTCGTCGAAGAACTCACCGAGCAAGAGCAAGAGCATCGTTCACGTTCGTTCAATGAACAACCGCGAGCAGTTCATCAAATTGGTACTGTCAATGGATCTAAGCGCGCTGGAGCGAAACTACTTGGAAATGGTGATCACCAAGCATCTGGAGGAGCACGGCATGCTCACCATTGGCCTGCCGAAACAGCTGCCTCTCAAGTACGACTCTCACGAGCAGTTCATGGAGACCTACCTGCCGCTGATCTACCACGACTGCTGGGCGCAGATTGTCGAGGACTACAGTCAGCTGGAGGTGAAGCCCCTGAAGAAGCTGTACATCACCAAGGTGTACCAAGTTGGACTCTACCTCAACATTGAACTGCGCTGTCTCATTCCCAAGTTTGACACGTTCACTGAAAAGTTTTTTCTCAACAACTGGCTAGCCTTTCTTCAGCCAGAGGGCTCACAGTCAGGGCGAAAGACGTTCGCCTTTGTTGACGGCTACTACAAAGTTGCTAAAAAGTTTTTAATGCCGCAGCATCTCTTGCCGGTTTTGAAGCCCTCTGATTGCGCCGATAACTACCTCGTTCAGATGGAGTACACGGTGAGAGTGCTGACGGCGAACAACGCTCTCTGGAGGCTGTTTACGCGCGGTCAGACGGTGACATTGACGCCCATATACTACCTTCAGCCGACGCTGCGCCAGACGACCACGTTGTCCCTTCTATCTAGCCGAGAGGACTTTGCAAAGGTTGTTCTCCAGCCTAAGGGTGAAGTCTACGAGCTGGACACTGAGCGAGCGAAAGGTTTTCACCTTCATGACAAAAAGAAGTTTAATGAGGAGCAAAAGGAGGCGATCATTGCCTGCTACAATGCCGTCGATTTGCACCCGCACAAGGAGAGCAAGGTGGTAATGATTCAAGGTAAGTGAAGTGCTGTTGGCTTGCGATGATGTGTTTTAAAACAAAACTTTTCATCTTCTAGGCCCCCCGGGCACCGGAAAAACGCACACTCTTGTGGGCATTGTGAAGAACCTAATGGTGAACTGTCAGTTCGACAATCGGAAAAATCCGATGCGCATTCTCATTTGCGCCCCTTCAAACGGAGCCGTCGACAACATTGCCCTGCGACTGATTGCCGACAAAAACTTTCTGGCCACCAGCTGTCCAAAGAAAGGCGTCAAGGTGGTGAAGCTGCTGCGCATTGGCCAGCGAAACAAGGTCCACCCGAAGGTGCTGCCCTACCACCTAGAGCACCAGCTGGACAAGATTTTTCCGCCTCCCTTAGATGATTCGCAGAAAAGGGATTGGTGTAAGACTCGCGAGGGCCTTCTCCTCGAAGCGCACATCATCTTCAGCACGTTGAACAGTGTCCAGGCGTCTAGCTTGTTGAGACTGTTTCAGAACGGCTCGCCCAAGCTGTGCTTCCGCTGCGTCATCATCGACGAGGCCGGCCAGTCGACGGAGCCGGAGCTGCTGATGCCTCTCGTCTACCCGACCAGCAAGTTGATACTGATTGGCGACCACCTCCAGCTGCCCGCCACCGTCATCTCCAGCTTTGCGCAGGGCAAGAACTACGGCCGCTCGATGCTGGAGCGCTCGTGCAAGCACTTTCAGGCGCTCTGTGATGGTGGTGGTGATGGTGGAGGTGGTGATGGTGACCAGCAGAAGAGACTGGAGCAGCTGCCGATGCTCACGCTGAAGCAGCAGTTTCGCATGCGACCGGAGATTGTCGCCTTTCCCTCGGCGCAGTTCTACGGCGGACAGCTGCAGACGCCAGCGAGGACGGGCGAGAATGCCGCCATTCCCCTGAAGCCGTACGTCGTCTTTGACGTGGCCGACAGTCGAGAGAGGAAGGGAGGTGGAGGTGGAAAGATGAAAGGAGCCGCCCTTCCTTCGATGAGCAAGTACAACCTCGAGGAGGCCGCCTTTGTGATGACGCTGCTGCGGGCCATCTTTGCCCGCCTGGGCTACCCGAACCTCAACAAACGGAAGCCTATGACGTTCGGTAAGGGCGCTCTGAAGATCAAAATTGGCGTCATCACCTTCTACCAGGTAGGCAGTCTTTCTTTTATTGTTTATCTTTACCTGAAGTCCTAACCCTTTTT